TAAGTGTAGGTTATTATGTAGGTTATAAGTGTAGGTTCTGCTGTCGCGAGACCACGTGCGAGCGCTTCAGTGGTTACTACTCTGTTCAATCAAGCCTTGAATTTTTTACTTAATAAATAATATTAAATTGTTTATACTTCAAATTACTCAATTTAACAGTCATCTTACATAAAATTATGATTTTACGAATAAGATTTATGAGTGTTAAAAGCAGTTTTTTTCACACTTTTTCGTAGTCCTCATTTGACTTCGGAATACCGATAGAACCTCCTTAATGAGATTGGATTCGATTCGATTCGATTCAAAGTGAAAATTTCAGATTCGATTCAATTCGACCATGCAAATGCTTGATTCGCACATCTGTATATAACACGTAGAAATTAATAAGTCAATTATGATATTAAAATACAAAATTGTTTGTACCTCAGAAATGATTAAATTGTCGATCTATGTTTAATAAGGTTTTTCAATATGATAAAAAAATTGTAATGTAAATGCTAAATAATGTATTGTGAATATGTGTGTATGTGTGTGTCCGCGAGTGTGAGTGAGTGTATCGAGTGTGTGCAAATGTATGCATGCGAGTGTGCGTATGTGTGCGCGTATATATGTATAGAGCAGACTAAACTGAATAAAAAAGTCCAGTACCATTTTGCGATTTTCGTAATAGTTAACAAGATATTAATTTATAAAAATTTATTTAGATTTTTATTTGATGGTGTGAGAAAACTCGTCCCATCGTCAAATTGTGCGGACGCACACTGATTAATAGATTTTTATTAACTAATATCTCATTAACTATTACAAAGATTTCAAAATTGATACAGAACTTTTTTATTCAGTTTACTTTAGTCAACTCTATAGTCTTGTCCATAAATAGTATTACACCTAATGTTAGACAGTCTATATATATTACTTATCTATAGCATTATTTCACATATATGTTAAGTAATTATAATAAAATAATACGCACAATATCAGAGACCACTATAACTTTCTGCAATCTTATTCCAGCAGCAGTTAAATTTTTTGCCAGATATGACGTATTGATATCTATTATTTGTCCACGTAAAATTTCATCTCCTATAACTATCAAACTTGCTGTACACGTATGATGTATCCGTTGCGACATACCGTTTTAAATTCTGTTTTTAATCAAAGGGAAAAAATATAGTAAAAAATGACAAGTAATTTTTTTGTACAAAATATGCAATTTACAATTTTTCCTTAACATGCATGACACATATTTATAATATTTATGCTTTATCTATTGCTTATTTGATATTTCATAAAATTAAAATAAGATAATAGCATATAAATATTGGGAATACTGGAATATTCTAGAACAAGGTAAAAGAGTTAAATAATAAAAACTACATATTTTCTATAATATTTATTATAAAAATTGTAATAAAAAATGTATGTATATGAACATAATATATATTGATAAGAAATTAATATTTTCTTATTATACTGTACAAGTATTACATTTTTTTCAAATATATAATTAATTCTATTCATCTTCCTTGTTCTCAGTTTTCAAAGTTGTATCTGTTCTATCATTGAAGCTGTTACATCCGTTTGAGCTGATGTCATCTTAGGCTTCAAAACCTCTTTATTTATTTTGATTGATTCCTTATGAGTTTTTTTAGCATCAAGTTTTATTTTGGAGTTAGATGCTCGAAAATTTTCTAATTCTCTTAATAATTGATCCATGCTGACTGTTTTACTTTTACTTGGTATTTTATTTCCTTTTGGGTCAAACTAATTTTAAAGCACAAAAATAATTATATTTTATCAATACTTTTTATATTAATGCTCACTATTACATTTATTCAGATATGTTAGTAAATATAAATTATCAAGTTTTTATAGAATTAAAACATAATAAGTATCAAGTATTTATTTTTATTTTATGCTTGATAATTTTTAATTGTAATAAGAAAATGAAAAGTGATTCGACTTGATGATTAAATATGTATATTTAATAATATGTACAATGCAATCTCATAATAATTATCTCATATAGCAATTAAAAATTTGTAAATATTTATCACTTACTTTCTTCAAATTAGTAATCACTTTTTGTGCTTTAGCTTTCAGCTTAATACTGCGAACTGTTGCGACTTTGAAAACATTTTTATTTTTATGAATCTTCTTGTTTTTTCCCATTTTTTTCTGTAATATTCATTATATCATTCTTTATACATGTTGTAAATCAATATTACTAATTTTAAATTTCTTCGTTGCTGACTCCTCGCTTTCAATTGTTTCTCGCTTTAATTGTTTCAGCAAAAATGATACTCGAACCATTTGTTTATTTGGTGAAACATCCCTAATATCATGTATACTAACAATAGAATCAGTAGGCAATGTATAACCAAGTTTTTGCTCAATCAATAATCTTCCAAGTTTGCAAAAATCATCTCCTTTATCTGCTTTTACAAAACAATATACATGAAATATAAGTGATTTGAGACAAACTTTTTTAAATTCTTCTTGTGTAAACCAATCATGTAATATATCCAAAAATTCGACAGCTGACGCGGGTAAATTCATTATTACATGTTCAGAACCAGATAGATTTTTGACTCGTCTGGCCAAAATATCATCTTTTACAACTTTTCTCAAAAAATCTCTACCATCCATGTTAAAAGCCTTAAAATTATCTTTTAACTTGTTTTTAACAGCATTTTTTTGAAGCCATTTGTAAGATTCGGGATTTAAATCATTAGCAAATACTTGGATCTTTTTACGTGCGGCAGGAATTGCAAAGGGTCCCACTCCTGCAAATACGTCATACAGAACATCACCTTGCGTCATAAATGTTATCATTCGTGTATGTTCAGTAGACAGACGTGGATTCCAGTACACTTTTGCAAAGTCAAACTGATATATACAACCATGTTCTTTCGCAATTGTTACTGTGTTTTTTTCACCCGCCAGAATTTCCATATCAAAAAATCGGAACGATGTATCAATTGTATTTATTTTATTTACTACTGTTCGTGCATTTGCAGTCTTATCAAGAAATACTTGACCAATAATAAATTTGTATGGCAAGTGTATATCACGTAAATTCAACTGCACAATATGTCCTATCAAACTATATGCTGCAGGAACTTCAATATCCTTCGGAAGAATTGATTTTAATACCACATCACGACGCCAATTATCGTACTTTAGTGTAACATTTATTGTACTAAAATATTCATATTGACCAAGTAATTTTCTATCATTCTCGGCAATATCTTCAAATTTTGAGACAATATCAGGATTCAGATAAACAATTGCTCCATCATTTGTCTTTTGAACTGATTTAAAATTACATATCTTTAACAAATATTTCTTTAGCACATGTATATTTTTTGAGATAGCAATATCAGATAACTTTAATGTTGATACAGTTACAATTGTTGTAAATGCATCACGATCCAAGCATGTCATCCCACGGACAGACGCTGGAGGAACCAGCAAGGAAGTCATAGTAGTTGTATAAAAGCTGTACTGGTTATTCAAGCAGATAGATTGCCGTACAACACTGAAGAATCTGCCAATTGCCATATACAGGATCATACACTGCAGAACAATACAAACAACTGATCATAATAACTATTTCACTAGACTATTTTTAATTTAAAGTCTAAATAGTAAAAAATACGAAAGTAATAACAAAATATCTATAAATTTCAACTCGTAAAAAAATCAAGGTTTATACAATAAACTTTAAAATCTAGTACAAACTATTAATTTATAAATGTAAATTTATTTCGATTCAATTCATGAATTAAAGCATAATTTTATACACACACGCACGCACGCACGCACACGCACTTACGCACGCACACACACAAACACACGCACTCACGCACGCACGCACGCACGCACGCACATATATAAATATATACATACATATATTTTCACAAGTTTAAAGTATGTATAAAAAAAAACACAAGTTTTGTACATAGATTATATATAAGTTTTACATATTTTTTTTAAATATAGCATTCTGAAATAAATTTTCAAAATACAGCGATGTATTTTATTTATTTTATAAAAAGAAGAATATATTTTTATATCTATTCTCAAAATAAATTGTATATTTTTTACATATTCCTAAATTTTAGGATTTACATAAGAACATAATGATTTAATTAAATTAGAAATTAAAGAAAATAGAGATTAATAAAAAAGAGCAAACAAGAAATGTTAGAATATAATTATATATCTTAATTTGTCAATAACGTTTCGACTTTATTAAGTCTGCTTCATCCACAAATAATTTACATTTATCTCATATTATCGGAAAATATGTAATATTTTTTAATAAAAAGAATTTATGCTAAATAGCAAACTGAAATAGCAGTATTTTGTAATTTTAACTACAAATTTTCTAAATTTTGATATAATAGAGTGAGGATGAGTATCAATAAGGTCTGATTTAGGCCTCCATTAAATTTTGATGCACCTCGTCAAAATGTATCTCTCAAAATAGTTTACACTCATCTCCAGTGTTTTGAGTGGAAACAGACATGATTACACGGTGCCTGTACCAATACTGTGGAAATTCTTTTCAATGTGGCAGGTATTGTCAAAATACCTTGAAAAAACTAATTTGTTATGTTGCAGAATGACCGAAATCATTTCAAAAAGGCATAATTCTCTCTCTGCATTTAATGCTGACAAATCTTACCATTTCGTATTCTGAAAAACTGTTACCGTGAAATATTGAGATTTTAAGAAGCAGAAAAAGTTTGCATAAAATATATTGGTGCTACAAAATCGCATTCAATAAATATTGAGAAATATCTATAATAATACTGTTTTTGTAGGTAAAGTTACACACGTACACGTACACGTACACGTATACGTACACGTATACGTACACGCACACGCACACGCATATACATGCACGCACACTCGCGAAGCACATTTGCTCATCGTTTATACATAAAAGATTAATATTGATTATTTTTTGGAGCCTTATCGGCACATATTTTCTAGATTTCATGTAAGACTGTCGGTATCAAATGCAGAGAGAATTATTCCTTTTTGAATTGGTTCCGATTATTCTGCAACATAACAAAAATTAGTTTCTTCAATAATTTAAAAAATTAGTTTTTTCACAATTTGAAAAATTTGTGGATAAAATTATAAAAAGCTACTATTTCAGTATACTTTGATATATTATATAACTATAATATTATGGCGTATTAGAGTTTGCAATCAAATATGTTGACAGGATTTTCAATCTTTAAGAGAATTTGATGTATTAATTAAAAAAATATTTGTGATTGATATCTATTGCAGCTTAAACCGCAAATTTCTCAAAATTTTGACATGATAAAAACATTTGCAGATAGAAATCTGTGATAAAAACATTTGTAAGTTTCTATAGAAATCTGTGAATTATATTCGGCATCCAAAAAATTATAAAAAACACTCACAATCAGTCTCGCAATCGCCAAGAGCATGTATTGCATATATTATATTAAAAATTTATCAATATACTGCAGAATTTATTACATCAAAGACTTATATATGTGCCATTAAGGATTTATCATTATTTTTTATTATATTATTTAAACTGAAATATTTGTCGTTGAAGCCTAATCTAATATCAAAGTTAATAAATTAAATTAAAATTTAAATTAAATACAAAAACCTAATAAACATTACATATATGTATATGACTTATTCCAACAATTTGACCACTTTTTAATTTTGACATCAACTATATTAGTTACATTATTTTTAATTTATCAATTTGTTTGTGTGTGTGTGTGTGTGTGTGTGTGTGTGTGTGTGTGT